TGCACCCCAGGATCCCATTGGCTTTCTTGGCAGCCAGGGCACACTGCTGGCTCATGGTTAACCTGTCATCCACCAGGACACCCAGGTCCCTCTCCACAGAGCTGCTCTCCAGCAGGTCCACCCCAAGCCTGTACTGGTGCATGAGGTTGTTCCTCCCCAGGTGCAGGACCCTGCATTTGGCTTTGTTGAACCTCATCAGGTTCCTCTCTGCCCAGCTTTCCAGCCTGTCCAGGTCACGCTGAATGGCAGCACAGCCTTCTGGTGTGTCTTCCACACCTCCCAGTTTGGTGTCATCAGCAAACTTGCTGAGGGTACATTCTAACTCTTCATCCAGGTCGTTGATGAAGAAGTTAAACAAGACTGGGCACAGTACCGACCCCTGGGGGACACCACTTGTTACCGGCCTCCAACTAGACTCAGCGCCGCTGATGACAACCCTCTGAGTTCTGCCATTCAGCCAGTTCTCTATCCATTTCACCGACCACTCATCCAGCCCACACTTCCTCAGCTTCCCTAGGAGGATATCATGGGAGACTGTGTCGAAAGCCTTGCTGAAGTCAAGGTAGACAACATCCACGGCTCTCCCTTCGTCTGCCCAGCCAGTAGTACATCAGTATGAGCATGGAGTAGCTATTTTTGTTAATGATCCATTGACAGCAAATGATTCACACCATATAAACAAAATCAAAATGTGACCTAACGCGTGCTTCTGGGAGGAAATACTTAAGCACAACAAACAAAATTAAAGTGCACTTTCCTGCAGCCTTGTATTGCTGCTTTTGTTCAGAGGGCATCTCTCTGGAGCACCAAATTTCAGAAGCAGAGCTGTTTACCTTTTTACTTCACTCTGTCTCACTTCATTTTTCTCAGTCTTGCAGCGTTTATTAAAGTTTAAATTCTGTTTTAAAACTAAGATGGTGAGAAAGAAATTATAGGATCTATATAAATGTAGAAGTAATGATATATTTGTAAAATAAAGAGTCTATATAGTTGAGTACTGTTGTTCTTATTGTTTATAGAAGGTTGAATAAAGAGAAAATACACTGTACTTCTTATTTAATAAAAAATGCTCCTAGACCCAATTTTTTATAGACTTTAAATGCAAATAATTTGTGCTGTGTTATAAACTGTTGTGTTTTTTTGCCTTCCTGTAACTGGAACAACATACTAATTTCTACAAGTTGTGACTACTAACAGAGAGCAATCACCTCACAGACTTGTACCGAAAAGAAGAGACCATCAGCGTGGCAGGGAATGGCTGCATCCACAGTCCTCGCTTCCCCAGCAGTTACCCCAGGAACCTCCTGCTGACGTGGCGGCTCCACTCCCCAGAGAACACCAGGATCCAGCTGGCTTTTGATAATCAGTTTGGGCTGGAGGAGCCTGAAAATGATATCTGCAGGTGAGTGACAAGTGGAAGTTTGCGAAGGGCTCCTTAAGACTGCTTTCGAGCTTAGGGATGTGTCCACTGTCATGAGACTGCAAACCAAAACCTCAGTAGCTCTGACCAGGTCTAGGATGGCCTTGCTAGGAGGACAAACCTCCAAGGGTCTCTTCCAATTCAAGCTGATCTTTTGAGTTTATTTATAAACTGAGCTGTCCTAGGCTTGAAGCAGTTTTGGCAGGTTTTAGTCCTTCTATAGTATTTTAAGCACAAGGCACTTGTACCCCCAAATCCAGCTACCTAACAATCCAGGTACTACTTTAACAGGATTTTGTCCTCTATCACCTCTGTCATGTTTCAGTCAGGCAAAAACCATCTTTTTCAGTAGGTGGAAGGCTCTGGGAGGTGTGAGTGAGTAGGTATATGTTTATATCGGGGTGTGAGGGACAGATAAAAATGCATTGAAAAATATAACTACATTCTTCGAATTCTTTGTTTGTCTTTATTGTTACTCCTCACAGGTACAGTTTCCTTTAAAACCTTTAAATATAGGTCCACAAACATGAGTGTACTCTGTATTCTGATAAAGTATACTCTACTATATCCTGGTTGCTTTGGTTTCTGCTTTTAAGCAAAAGTTGATCATAAGCTCAGTTGATCTGGCTGATTAACCCGGGTGGATAAACTGTTTTACATTAGCAGAGCACAGAGGTGAATCCTGCCAACATTCACTAAAACAGTATAAATCCATGGAGTTTTTTGTTTATTACTTTTATTCAACTATCTGTTCTGTGGGAGAGAGCAGGCTCAGAATTCAAGGGACTGGAGCATCTCTCCTATGAGGAAAGGCTGAGGGAGCTGGGCTTGTTTAGCCTGAAGAAGAGAAGGCTGAGTGGAGATCTTATAAATGCCTACAAATATCTTAAGGGTGGGTGTCAGGAGGATGTGGCCAAGCTCTTTTCAGTGATGCCCAGCGACAGGACAAGGGACAGCAGGCACAAACTGAAGCAGAGGAAGTTCCATCTGAACATGAGGAAGAACTTCTTCACTCTGAGGGTGACGGAGCACTGGAACAGGCTGCCCAGGGAGCTAGTTTCCTTCTCTGGAGATATTAAAAAACCCGCCTGGACAAGGTCCTGTGCAGCCTGCTGTGGGTGACCCTGCTTCGGCAGGGGGGTTGGACTAGATGACCCACAGAGGTCCCTTCCAACCCCGAACATGCTGTGATTCTGTGATTCCCATGTGCTCCGAAAGGCAGATTGCTGTGATGCTACTTACATAAAACGCTGAAGTCTCAGCATCTAGCTCTCTGCCTGATCCTGTTGTTACTTAGGCCTTATCTATGCACAGAACTGGGTTGTTAGGATTTCTGCACACCCAGCCTCTGCTTATCTTATCTTCTTTGTAAATTAATTTGCATTTATAGGGTTTGGTACCTCTGCGGAGGTTTTACAGGGTGGGTTTCTTTTGTTGTTTTGCTTCATTAATTTTTTACATTGCCAATAGAGAGAACCATTTCTGCATATTTGCTTTCCATTTTGTAATGAAAGAATGCAGCTCGAAACTGGCCCTCCTTCCCTGTACCTTGATGGTCTTGGCAGCTGCTGCTCTACTCTGGTACTGCTGGTCCAAGATCAGCAGCAGAGTCAGTAACAACAGTTCCTCCTAGCACTGCAAACGCTTTCCCAGATTGAAAGTCTAATGCATACAGAAGCAGCCTGTTAATATTTACATAGTGGATAAACTGTGGCTGACCTTAAAGCATTGCAACTTTGAAACAGAGAGCTAATTTACTGTGGAAAAAAAGATGAAGTATTTTCTGTCAAGAGCCATTAAAGGTGGTGGCACAGTGAGGGGAAGTCAAGCTGTTACTGGTATTATGGGTTTGGGGACCGTCTTGGAAGATAGTCTGCATGCTTTTGGCAGAGCAGCCAATTTAGGATGCAGAGAGAAGCAAAGACCTTCCATCATCCATATTGTCTATAGAAGCTGTAGAAATATCACATTCTTTTCTGCAATAAAGCTTTCCCTGGCATTCCGGGAAGACCTTTATTTGCGCAGTATTACTTCCAGAGTGGGGAGTTTCTCAAGGCAGACAGCTCATGGTAGCTTTAAGCCTGTTAAGTACTGTGTGCGTAGTTAGATTTTTTGCTAATGCTCAATATCTTTTTCAAAACTAGTTCCTTTCTGCAGCTTCAGTCCCTGACGATCCCTGCAGTGCTGCTTGAGAGAGACAGCCAGGAGTGTTTTAATTGAAATGAATGCTAAGAGCTGAGCATGTGCTTGAATGCTGTGCATATTGGGCAAGTAATTCAGGACCTCTGCACCTTACCTTCCTTTTCTACTTGCTTTTGACCTTATGCTTTTTTTGCCAGAAACTTCCTAGTGTTTTCTTTCAATTTTTCATTAATGCTAGTTATTGTAATTTGCATACTATTAAGACTAAACTGATTGAAATTCACTCAGGCTGAAGAGTGAAAAGGTGTGCTTTAGCAGAGCTGTTTCAGAAGGAGGGGAAATAGTCAAAGTTTTCAAGAATTTTCTAGAAGTACTGTTAGCATTTCCAAAGGCACTTGATAAGAGATGATTCTGAAAAGCAGTTAGATTACCTAGCCTCTAAGGCTCCTTGCATGCACAGAAACAACTGAGATTGCACTTACTGCCACGAACATTGCAGCAAAGCCTGGGCTGTTGAAAGCAGAAAAAATCCTTGAAAGCCCAAGGGTCTGTCCCATTTTTACTAGCAGTTAGTCTGGCTCCTGGCCTCACAAAGTGGGGAGGCCAGTGATGACAATTTTCACCAAAGCCTGCAAGGATATCTTATGCTGAAAACTCTGCAACCCCTTGTGTTACGATAGGCATTCGCTGCCTGTCGTGCTGCCCGGGGAGCAGTGTTGGATGCTCTGCCCAGGTACCATGTCCATCACCGTGAGGGACTGGGAGCTGAGGATGGTGGAGAGAGCCCAAGACAAGTTTAACTCTGCCTGGAACTAAACTTTGTCATGTTACAAAAAATGCATGTTTCAGCAGAGTTTGGTCAGATTTAAGTGATTTGGTTGTGGCGAATCTGTTATTTTCTGTTCTGTGCAATTTGGGGTTGGTGAATATAAAAGCAGCAGTGATTCTCAAGCCACACAGTACTTGTGTTTTTTTCACATGGGCTCTCAGCAGAAAAAGAAAAGCAGGTCTGTTATTTACAGAGCTATTCAGCTCCCACAACTGGGCAGGGAGGCGGGCGCTTGGCCTGCAGACCCAGGCGTGGGGAGCAGCACATTGCTAGTAAGAATCGGTTAACAGTCTTAAAGTCCCTCTTCTGAGGGAGCACACGCTTTGATAATGAAAACGTTTCCTGGTAAAGATCTCTGAAGTTTGAAGGCTTAACCGTACTATGAGGATGGCAGCTGCCCCCATGTCTCGTTGCCTGCACTCAACCTGCCCTTCTTGTCATCACCTCTCCTTCACCTAGTTCTGGTACCAGATATTCAGATATCGAGGGACTGTTTTTCTCATAGACTTAGTGAGACCAGGACTTTATTCTCTGCCTGCCTTATTTCCCAGCTGAAGAAATGAACTCAGTGAGTGACCCAAGCGAGCGCGCGCGCAGGCTGTGGCAGTGAGCGCTGCACTGTGTTCTCTCGTCCCTGGGGTTTAGTGTCTGCTGCTCTTGGCAGAGCCCTCCTTAGGCTCAGGGCACTACGACTGTGGTGCGGGTGCCTGCCCAAGGCGTGACCTTGCACAGGGCAAGACGTGCTGTTGCTCTTCCCCCGGTGCCAGGACCCACACCGTGGTATGAAGAGTGCCAGCCTGCCACTTTCTGCTTGAAAGCTTGCAATGAGCCTTTCCAAACCACCTAGCAGGAGCACCATGCCATCTAAAAAGAAGGCCCGGCGTCCCACCAGCATCTCCCCTTGCAGCCCGGCCCCAGCCCGCCAGCAGGCACAGCAGGTGGCTGCTGCTGGGGCCGGTTTAGGGGCCACCAGAAAGTGCAGAAGTGCTTGCAGCTGTTCAGCTTGGGCAGCCCGCCTTAAATAATATTTTATCAGGTCTCTAAATTATTTATCCACCACATGAAATGCAATGCATATGCTTACTGTGTACTGAGCACATACAAGTGCCTCTTATTGCTGTTTTAACATGGTAGAAAATACTGTCTGTCATGTTCCAGGACCACAAAAATCAGCCTTTTGAGCACCCAGGCAGCAGCTTGCAGCTGAGTGTATTTTGTGCTACATGAGCATGTCCACCATTTGTAATCTTTAGTCTGATGGACTATGGAGAATGGCGGACAGTTGTCTTTGTGTCTTCAGCTGTGCTCCTGTTTTTTTGCAACCATCTGCTGTAACCAGAGTTAACAAAAGCTAATCCTTCAAACTGGTTCCCAGGTATGACTTTGTGGAAGTGGAGGATGTGTCAGAGACCAGCACGGTTATACGAGGACGGTGGTGTGGACACAAGGAAGTACCTCCAAGAATAACATCAAGAACAAATCAGATAAAGATAACCTTCAAATCTGATGACTACTTTGTGGCTAAACCTGGATTCAAGATTTGTTACTCGCTTGTGGTAAGTCACCTAGCTGTGTCACGGGTGAGAGACAGATTGTAGTGTTTAGAGCCTCAGTACTTGAGGACTGGATGGTGTAGCTAACTGCATTGGATCAAAACACTAATTGACTGAAAGTATTTTCATTCCAGCAACTACATTAATACAGATCAAAGTATTTTTGACATCCTATCTTTAAATATAAAATAAAGTCAACTCCAGGCCAAGATTTACACTAATAATATGTTTCAGAAGCACTAACGCTTTCTGCACTGAGGCTGCACTGCCAGTGCCTTGACAGATGCTGCAGAAATAGCAAAGAAATGGCTTCTCTATGAACTCCTTTTTTGATGTTCGTTTGAGGTCAAATAAAAATACCTTGAGGGGTTATGGCTGTGATTCTGAGTTAGATGCAGAGTAGTTTATTTTACATGCAGTAAAATTCTACATGCAAGACAATGTGCTAAGGCTCAGGCTGTATTTTTAACCGTGTATAAACATACCTCTTTTTATATGTGGTGGCATTAGCAGTGTATCACGTACTGTTTCAATGAGATGAAAACCGCCTCTTTTTTTTTACTTTAGTTTTGTCTTTAGGGAGCAGGTATATTTTAAAACAAATATGTATTCCTTTGTATTGTGCTGATTAATATTATAATGCTTTTGGTGCAGTGTAGTACAAAAGAGGCAGATTTTGCAAACACTCAGGAAATGGTAAACATTAATTTATTATACTGTTATCATTATATTTTCATATCCATCACACCTCTTATTGCCTTTTTATTCAATCCACTGTTATTTAACAAGAAGAAGAAAGTCTGAAATAGCAGTAATGTTAATGCTGTAACAGGAGAGATCTGCTGTTTGAGTCATTTCGTTTCAACCTCTCGGCTATGCATGCATGTATGCCTGTGTATGCTAAAAAGAGTCCGTGAACAGCACATTGTCAAGACAACTCTAGAGCTAGAAAGACTGTGCTCCCTTACATTTAAATTGATAGGCTTCTACTGGAGTAAGGCATTGCACTGTGAGTAAATCCTGAGCTCTAATCTACTCTAATTTGAAGGTAATCTTCTAAAACTAAAATTTAGGCAGAACAGTCTATGAAAGACCACTGGGCATAAAAATGAGGCAGTGAAGCAGCCTCTCTTTACACTGCTCATATTTCAGTGCAGCCACAAAAACTCTGCTGCATTTAACAAGCTTTATTCCAGACCACGTACAGCTAGTTGATATATTAGGCTTTCCAAAAATGAATGTTATTGCTCAAAACACAGGAGACTTTGCGCTAGAAAGCTCAAAAAAGGCTACAGTATTTATCTAATTTCAAAACTATGAGTAAACAGAGAATTTTACAGTTTAGCAAATCTATTCAGAAGAACACTCTCCAAGTGAACCCTCTGAATGAAATTCTATTTTATTTCTGAGAAGATAACTGTACAGGTGATTAGTGGCATTTGCGGGATGGGGGATGATATGTACTTAGCTGGTCTTCAGATTCCAAACCGTCCAGCCCAAAACTGTGGGATTAATATTCAACAGAATCAGCCCTTATTCGATAGTGCCCACAGTTGCTTAGAGCTCAGTTCATAGATATGCTGAGCACTGCTGACCCCTGAAGGTTGAACTCATTGTGCATTTCTAGGCGGTAAACCAGGGAGCATTAATGAAGCAAGTAAAAACATACGGTATTTTGTATCAGCTGAAATGAAAGACATTTTCATTGCTTGTTTTCTTTCCATTGTAACCTTCTCCAAGACAAGGCTACTTCTGGGGGCTTTATTGGAAAATGATGCACATGATAAGTGCAAATCTTTAGCTCCTTTGTATTATCTTATATTTGGAGTTTGGTTCTGCATGGCAGTTGTTTAGTTGTGTACCAGACTCTGACTGATAATTTTCCAGAGAAAACTGAAGCAAGCAATTTGGAGAGTTCAGCTGAGTTTATTGATCAGCTGCATCTCCTGAGCGTGGTGCCAGAATGGCTGGATGAATTTCTCCCCGTTATGTATGCAGCCAAACAGCCCCACAGCCTTGCTCTCTGGCCTTGTCATTTATGAATCTTCAAGGAAGTCAGTTAAGTTCACTTCATTTGGTGCAGATCATGTTTTGACTTAGTTCAGCACTCTGCATGAGGCACAAATGAGGCACTGCAGAGCTTAGCAGAAACATACTTTGTTATATTAATGTACTTGTGTTTTTACATTAACTTCACATTTCAGTACCATTCAGAGAAACAAAAAGGGTTTCTTCCCCTAAAGAAGACATAAATTGGACTTGTATGAATGAAAAGGATGTTTGCCCTTGTAAAACAAGGCATGCAAAGTAAGCAGCCCATGTAAGATGAAGGCTCTGGGTCACGGAGAACGGAGGGATTAGGGTTAAAAGTGACTCTGGAAAATTAGACTGAAAAAAATACAAAGATGATCTTTAACAGGACAAGGTTGAAAGCCATACGGATGCATTGGAGTAATGAACTGTCCCAATGGAAGAGAAGGGACCAAACGTGAGAAATAAAGCCTGACCATCTAAACACAACATTTAGCAACTTTTATTTGCCAAGGCTGGTTCCCTCCACCTTCTTTCTCCTCCTCTCCCCACATTCTCTGCCTCTGCCCTTCCCTCTGTGTTTCTGATGGACTAGGAAGGCTGGATGGAGGGCAATGAGGGTGGGTTTGGAGGGAAGGGGCAGATCCAGTGCGCTGCTACCTGTTGCTTGTTCCTGATCCCCTGTTTCCCCATGAAGCCGTAGGACTCCCTGGGGTGGGAGCTCCAGGGTGGACCTGGCTCCAGGAGCTTATGAGTTGAGTGTGCCGCACTGCTTAGCCTAAGTTGTATAAGAGTCATAAGTATCCTAAAGTGGCTGGAAAAAGTCACTCTGTGCTGTCTGTGATGGTGCAGAAGTAGGTAAATACGCACAGCTGGTGGCTGGTGTCCACGGACACTTGACATTCAAAGCACCTGGTTGTAGCTGTGCGGTTTGTTGGCTTAGCCTGGGTATCTACATAGAGAAATGTCTCCCTCGAACCTCTTTAAAAATTGTCTTTTCCTTCATGCTTCACGGACCTAGAGCAGAAATGGTCTGGAGGAAGCCCTGGACAGTTATTAGGCATGAGCCTCACTTAGCTGCAAATTTGTTTGAATTTCTTCCCTGTCATTATCACTTAAAGTGCTTATTTCTCAAATTAATATTTTTCCCCCTTTTTTTTTTTTTGCTTGTCTTGATTGAGTTACCTTAGAATCATTAATTTGTGGTATAAAAGGCACTGAGGTATTCCAGTGTTTTTTTCTCACGCGTTATATGATTTCTTACTCTAAAGACATAATGTTTCACAAGAAACACTGTACAAATATGTGACACAGCGGAAGATAAGTAATCTGAGGTTACTTACACAGTTTCTAGAGGGGAGGTAGGCACTGTCATGAGAAAGGCCCCTGGGTTGCACGCCTTAAAGTAGGTGATATGAATATTCCACATCAGTGCCACAAATGTGAAATTTCATTCCACCACTGCTTACAGTGCAGCTGCCTCAACTAAGGGATCTTGCATGTAGCAAACAAGTATTCAATAATTACTAAAAATACTGCATCAATTACTTTGAGATGTAGGAATGTAAATTAGGTTGCACTGTTACACATGGATATAATCTTTGCTTGATTGGAGTAATTTTATACAATCCCCTTTTTCCTCTGAAGTGAAATTCTTCCAATGTCCTGATCCTGGAAGGGAATGTTAACAATACTGGACCCCATGTTTTACAAGTACATTAGCATGGACATTTACTAAAATAGTCTAGGAACTCGTTCAGGAATGTGTTCCAACAATAAAGGTGAATGTTTTGAATTGAAATTCCCAACCCTGCATCTAATTTCACTTTAATGAGACAACTGGAAAAATTTGGATTCCATTTGCTAATTAAAAATATTATTTTAAGTTTATTGTGAAAGGCAAGTATTTATTATATGTTTATAACAGTAAATCATTATTGCATTGCTAATTATTTCATTAATTCTAAATGAAATCCATATTTTGGAGCTTTGACTAAAACTGTTATTGGAAACAAGGGCTAGAAAAAAGCTGGGAACATATATGTATGTGTATATATATTTATATGTACGAACGTGTGTATGTACAAACATGTATACACACAAATTTGTAAGGTTAAAAAATATATATTAACATATAGCTCTTTTTATATGTATATACATATATGTGTGCTTTTACTTTTCTTTTCTTTATAATATATAACATAATCCATTACTAGGAAACATCACATGGCATTAAGACCAATCTTTACTTATTTGGGAATTGTAAACCAACAGTGGTGGACATGTGGTGCTAAGCAGGAGAACATAAGTGCATTTGTCCCAGGATAAACTTCTGTGTCAAAATGTGTATCAGTGTGTTAGATCATGAGTGATTTTTGCTTGTTTGAACTGACATTTTTTGAATGAAGGAACCATAAAGAAATTAATGGAGGCAGAGGGTAGCTTTGGGGTTTGTTCCATCATGTGGAATTTACAGTAAAGTAGGTTTCTGCTAAACACCCTGGCTATAGGTCACCTCTCATATGATCAAAACAAGAGCACTGGTCACAAAGTGGGGTAAGACACCACATTGTGTCTAGTAAACTTTAATTACTTTCCCATTCGAAAAATATTGGCCAGTCAAAGTTAGTTCAGATACTAACCTTAAACTCTTTGCTACTTGCCTGTTAAGCTCTCAAGAAAGCACCAAAAATTCAAAGCACAGTCAGAAAATGAAAATGGGCAGAAGAAGAACCTGATTCTGACACTTGTACTCACAGTCACTCTGAATTAAGTGATTGGCTGCCTGTATTTTACCAGATTTGTTTGCACAAATAGTGGAGCACCAGGCTGCAGTTTTTTAAATAATAAATAAACTCCCTCATAAGAGTTAGCATAATCACAGAAAGATTCAGCCAGCACTGTGAATACAGATTCATAAAGATCATAAAGGATGATCCATTCTTTATCACTGGCCTCCGAGCTGGATGCAG